AAAATGCTTCCCTTCATCGAGTCTTCATAGCCACCTTGGTATCTCCCAAGGTATCGGAGCCCTGGATGCCTTCCCCAGGGTCAGACAGCGAGTAAGAGCTTGAGCAGGGTTTTTTGATATGTGCTTTATTGAGATGCAATTCACGTATAGAACATTCACCTTTGTAAAGGTGGACGAAATTGTAAGGGTTTTTAGTACCTTCGTGAAGTTATGTAACCATTACCACTAATTCCTGCACACTGTCGTCATCCCGAGGACCTGCTGACCTCTTAGCTGTCACGGTAACTTCCCTGCTCCCCACAGCCCCTGGCAGCCTCAAACTCTACTTCCTGTCTGCCTGAATTTGCCAGAAATCCTACAATACATGGCCTTTTGAGACTGGTTTCTGTCACTTAGCATCATACCTTCAGGGTTCGTCCACGTGGTACTGAGTGACAACATTTCATTCCTTTTTTTTGGCCACATGTTCCATCGTGTGGATGCATCCCATTTTGTTTATCCAGTCATCAGAGGAAGTTTCCACTTTCAGGCTGTTAGGAATAGTGCTGCTGGGATGGTTTGTAACAAGCTGTTACATGCACTTACGTTTTCAGTTCTCTTGGGTAAATACCTGTGAGTACTGTCTTGGGTCAGATGATAACTGTGTGTACCGTTTTAAGGAACTGCCAACCTGTTTTCCAAAGCAGCTGCGCTATTTTGCATTCCCACCAGCAGTGTTACGAGGGTTCTGATTTCTCTCCATCCACACCCACACTCGTTATTATCTGACTCCTTGATTACAGCCATCCTAGCGAGTGTGAAGTGGTATCTCATGTTTTGGAATTGCATTTCCCTGATGACTAATGACAAACATCTTTCCATGGGCTTATTGGCCATTTCTATGGATTCTTTGGAGAAATGTCTATTCAAATCATTGTCCCATCTTTTTTTTTAATAAAGATATTATTTATTTTTTCATGAGACACATTGAGAGAGAGAGAGGCAGAGACCCAGGCAGAGGGAGAAGCAGGCTCCCTGTGGGAAGCCCGACGTGGGACTCGATCCCGGGTCTCCAGGATCACACCCTGGACTGTAGGCAGCGCTAATCCGCTGAGCCATCTGGGCTGCCCCCATTGTCCCATCTTTAGATTGGGTTATTTGTCTTATTGTTGAGTTGTGAGAGCTCTTCGTGTAAAGTAAAACCTTATCTGTAGTTCCACTTTCTGTGGTTTCGTGCCTGTGGTCAGCTCTAGCCTGGAAGCAGGTGGCCCTCCTTCTGATGGGCTGTCAGAAGGTCAGTGGTAGCCTCACCCTGTGTCACAGTGCCAACGTCATCCCGTCGCCTTGCCCCATCACGTAGGCATTTTATCATCTCGCATCACCAGCAGAAAGGTGAATCCAATAAGATATTTTGAGAGCGAAACCACATTCACGTAACTTTTATCACACTATAATTGCCCAATTTTATTATTATTGCTATTAATCTCTTACTGTGCCTAATTTATAAATTCAACTTCATCATAAGTGTGTATGTATAGGAAAAAGCATAGTGTGTGCATATATACACACACACACACACACACACATTTCAGGACTGCCTGCAATTTCCAGCATCCACTTGGAGCGGGGGTGGGCGGTGGCGCCTTGAAGTAAGATGGAAAAGACGAGATTACTGCATTCTGGTTACAAAACCCATATTAGATATACAGTTTGCAACAATCTTCTCCCATTCTCTGGGCTTCACTATCTTTTTTTAAATGTACATAATACAGGGATCCCTGGGTGGCGCAGCGGTTTGGCGCCTGCCTTTGGCCCGGGGCGCGATCCTGGAGACCCGGGATCGAATCCCACGTCGGGCTCCCGGTGCATGGAGCCTGCTTCTCCCTCTGCCTGTGTCTCTGCCCCTCTCTGTGTGTCTATCATGAATAAATAAATCTTAAAAAATTTAAAAAAAATGTACATAATGCAAATTTTTCCATTGTAACCTTTTTTAAACGTACAGTTCAGCAGCATTAAATGCATTCACACTGTTGTGCGGCCGTCACCACCATCCATCTCCAGAATTTCACTGTTCCAAACAGAAACTTTATACCCATTAAACAGTAACTTCCCATTCTGTCCTCAGCCCTGGCGACCACCATTACCTTTTCCATCTCTCTGAGTCTGGCTATGCAAGGTATCTTGTAAAAGGGGAATCCTATATGGGAGTGTGTCCGCACAGCACAGTTGTTTGAGCACCCGAGTCTTGGTTTCCACTCGAGTCGTGATCCCAGGGGTCCGTGGGGCTCTGTGCTCAGTGCAGAGTCGGCTTGAGATTCTCTCTCCCTCTCCCTCCGCCCCTCCCACTCGTGCTTGCTCTCTTGCACTCTCAAATAAATCTTTTTAAAAAAAGTGGGATCATATGGCACTTATCCCTTTGTGACTGTCTTTCGCTCAGCACACTGCCTTTAAGGTGTCATCCGTGTTGTAGATCGGGTCAGAATTTCATTCATTGAGGCTGAACTCCACTGGATGGCTACACCCCACTTTGTTTATCCGTAGATAGACATTTGGGTCTCCCACCTTTTGACTATTGTGAATAATTCTACTGTGGACATGAGCCTGTAATATCTGTACAAGCCTCTGCTTTCTATTCTTTTGGGTGTATATTCAAAAGGGGAATTGCTGGATCATATGATAATTCAATGTTTATTTTTTTGAGCAACTGTCACATTGTTTTCCAGACCAGCTGCATCATTTTTCGTGCCCACCAGCAATGCATAGAGGTCCCAATTTTTCTATATCCTCACCTTTTTTACTTTCTTGATGGTGTTATTTGAAACACAAAAATTTTTTGATTTTTACGACCTCCAACTAATTTTTTTTTGCTTGTGCTTTTGGCGTTATATCTAAAAAACTATTGCTCAACCCAAAGTCACAAAGATTGGCTTCCATATTTTCTTCTACAAGTTTTATAGTTTCAGCTCTTACATTTATGTCTCTGATCCATTTCAAGTTAATTTTTGTGCGTGGTGTGAAGTGGAGGCCCGGTATCATTCTTTTGCATGTGAATATCCAGGTGCCTCAGCAACATTTGTTGAAAGGCTGTTCTTTCCCCCATTGAATTACCTTGGCAACTTTGTCAAAATCAATTGATCATAAATGTAAGGGATTAATTCTAGACTCTCACTCTGTTCCATTGAGTGGAATATTCTATTTTCCATGTCTGCTAAGCAGGATTTTCACTGAAGCTTGTGCTCTCCAAATCGCACATAGGTTTCCTTCTACTATGTAAGTGGTTTAATCAGATTGTTGTCTTTGTGACTCTAAAAGGAAGCGATTTTCTGGAATAATGCCACAGACTTGATGATACACGAACATACCCGTGCTGGGGGGGGGGCACCCCACTGGAATCTGAGGTCTTCACTGGCCAGCATATGGCGTGAAGGCTGTCAGGCCTCTATCAACTGTAGTTTGTCCTTTCCTATGGTCCCCTCTTTCCTCTACTGAATAGGAGGTGGCCTTGTTGGAAGGGCGGAAGGGGATTTGGGTGGAAAAAATATACTGCTTCCCAACAGGCCCACCCAGCTCAAAGCCCAGCACCGAGGGGTCAGCAGTGCACTTCCTTGGTGGCAAGAACTATAAAGGGTCTGAGATTTGGTTTCACCCTACTTCCAAGCTGGTAGGCGAGCCTTACTCTGTCATGGATGCTGGCAGGAGACATGAGACTCTGGGTCAGAGACAAAGGATTCTATTACTCCTAGCACAGCAAGCAGCAGTGACATTAACATGTTAGTGTCGGCTTCACAGAGCCCATGGGGCAGATGTGACAGCCCCACGTGGATGCTCTGCACAGAGTGAGTGTGGGTCACAGCAGGGGAACAGTAGACCAAGGTCCCGGTACTTGCTAGCAGGAAACCCTGGAGCACACAAGCCTCCTGCAGTGGGAGTGAGCAGTCGCATAGTGGTCACACTGTGTCCCCTTGCCTGTTTTGTTGTTTGTGTGACCATCCTGTCAGCACGGGAGGATGGATAAGCCTGTAGTCTGACATACTCGGCCAAAATGTACACAGATGCTCAGGGCCCTGAGAGGCCTACAGATGGGAAGCCTTCAGAGAAGGAAGTGACTTGCTGAGGATCGTGCAGGAAAAGCCCTGTCTAGAACCTTCCAGGCTCCCGACCCAGTGCTTTTTCCACCACCATCCTCTGCCCTTAAGGGTTTTCATCCAACACCTGGCATTTTGGCAGCCGACCAGCCTCACCGGGAGGCATCGAGGGCAGAGGAAGCCCAAATGCACCCCTTAGTTTCTCTGTGTCTGCCAACATCATTTTAAATCTAGGCTGCTTTGGAGGTGCGGAGGACATGGTGGACAAAGCCAACTGTGGCAGCTGTGGTGATGGGGTCATTTCATTGCCAGGACTGCAGTGGGTCTTTGAGTGGACGTGCAGTTTGTCTAGTGGAAGCAAGTGTAGGAAGGTGTAGGTGAGGAACGGATCCACGAGAGTCCTGAAGAAAGGGTCACTGAGCTCGTGTGTGCAGGGCCCCACCCTGCTGCTCACAGCTCCTCTGCCCCCTTCTCTCGAGCCTGTCCCCTCCCTCCAGGCCCCAGGTCCTCCCAGTCCCCAGACTCACAGCTCTCTCCCGTGCAGAAGCCTTCTGAGCCTCCCTGGGCGAGTTCGGGGCCCTGCAGGCCTCCCCAGCTGCTGCCTCCTGTCCCCCCCCCCCAGACCGTAGTCCTGACCGGCTCAGCAGTCAGGTGGCGCGTCCCCCAGCTTTCCCCTCTGCTCTGGGGGCTCAAGAGAGCATCTCTGCTCCCCTCCTGCCTCTCCCAGCCGTGAGCTCCGCAGCAGGCCCACGCCCGGCCGTCGTCCTGGGGGCAGGTGCGCGGCACACCAGGTGGGGGCTGTTCAGGGAGCTCAGGGGGTTGCGGCCCAGGGACCGAGGTGGAGGGGAGGGCAGCTGCCGGCCGCTCCTCCGGGGCAGTTTGCAGAGGCGCCACCGCCTTCTGTTGTCTCCCTCCCTCCCGGTTGCCCTGGGGCAGCTCTTCCCGGCCCCGCTCCAGAGCCTCTCGAGGAAGATCGTGCGCTCCAAGACCAACAGCACCCTGGTCGGGGTGTTCACCATCACCCTGGTGTTCCTGTCGGCTTTCGTCAACATGGTAGGTCTGCGGTCGCACCGGGCTGCTGAGGCCCCTCACGCAGGTTCTAGTTCCTGGCTCTGAGGGCTGGGGGGCCCTGGAACACTCGAGAAGCCCCCAGGGCAGGGCCAGCCGCTCGGCCCCCCCCCCCCGCAGTGTCAGGCTGCACACCCCCCGGCCCAGGCCGGGCCCCACGCTGAGCCCCCCTCCCGCCCCCAGTTCATGTGTAACTCCGAGGACCTGTTGGGCTGCCTGGCGGACGAGCACAACATCAGCACCAGCCGGGTCAATGCGTGCCACGTGGCGGCGTCGGCGGCCAACCTCAGCCTGGGCGACGAGCAGGGCTTCTGCGGCAGCCCCTGGCCCAGCTGCAACTTCCCTGAGGTACTGGGCGCGGGGGGCACGTGGGGACCCCCCACCCGCCCCTGGACTCTTGCTCCGCGGGCCGGGCGCCTTCTCCACAGAGGAGCCACCCTGCCGGCCGCGTGGACGGTCCCCAGGCCGGGTGCCGGCGCCCAATGGCACAGCGGCCCTGCAGCACCAGCGGGTGGAGGCCTTTCCATATGGGGAAAGTGAGGCACGGGGTGGGGACTCCCCCAAGGTCCTTCAGTGAGTAAGAGGCACACAGCAGGGCTTTCCCCTGGGCCGTCTGGGGCCGGGATCTGGTCTTAACGGGGGCACAGGTCTGCCTCCGAGGCAGAGGTTGGGGCCCAGGCCTGCTGTCACCCTCATTGTTGGCTGAAACGTTTTCGTCGGACCCACGGGTTATTGGGGTTAAAAACTGGGGCTGAGAACCCTCAGGGAGCGGCATGCATTGAGTGCCTATGGTTTGTGGGGTGTTTCATCCACCTCCTCCTCCTCGGGGAGCGCTTTTCCAGTGAGCAGAGCATCCGGGCTGGGCCTCCAGCCTAGGTGTCCGCTCCGTGTGCAGCTGCCCCCCACCCCTCAGCTGTCTCCCACCCCCCAGCTGGCCCCCACCCCCCCGCTCCAGCTGCCCCACCCCCCATGTCCCAGCTGCCCCCACACCCCCATGCCCTGTATGCTCCCCACCCCCGCCCCAGCTGCCCACGGGGCTCACACAGAACCTGCGAGATGATGGCTGCTGTTGCTCTTTCCCGGGGAGGTGGCCCCAACCTTCACCCAGCTACCAGGACTCCTGGAAAGGTCCAGAACCACAGTGAGGCCCCCGGGGCATCATGGTGCCGGTCTGGCCCCCCCAACCCCTGGGAGGGAGCCCGATCTTTGGCCCCATAGGAGGGGCAAGGGAGACGTGGCGCGGGGGCCTCTGCCCATGTCGGGGACGAGCCTTCCCGGCCGCTCGCACCTCTGTCCCTCACGCAGAGCCAGAGCCCGCAGGAGCCACGGCCCGAAGCTGTTTGCTCCTGGACTCGCCCCTTGGGGGCGGCTTCAGGAAGAAGCCGGGGGATGGGGGCGCTGGCGGTGGCCGCTGAGTCTGGCTCGGGAGGGGCGTCCCCCCGCCGTGGTCCCACCAGCTTGGGTGCCGCTGCAGAGCCCTCGGCGTGCCCAGATACCAGGGCCCTTGGGGACAGCAGCTGTAAGCCTGGCCTGCCCCCGGGCGGGCTGGGACCCTGGGGGCTGCAGGAGCTACGTGGCACTGCCCACGTCCTCTGCCCCTGTCCGCCCGGCGGTGGGAGGCTGCCCCCCCTTCCCGGGGCCCTGTGCGGTCCCTCGTTGGGCTCCTGCACATCTAGGGCGCCCGAGGGTCCAACCTGGGAGCATCCTCCGGCGCCGTTTGGCCTCCAGCCCGAGGCAGGGGAAGCCAACGGGGAGGCCCGGTGCCGACTCCGGAGTAAGGCTGCTAAATGTGAAAGGAGGAGCAAAACTGCTGCTGACACGCCCGGGCTTGGCGTCGGGACGGAGCCGAAAGGCACCCCTGGCGCCTGAGGTGCGGCCCCCCTGTTGTCTGAGGCCGAGATTGAGGCTTGGCGACCAGCAGGGACTCCCCCGGGGCAAGTCGTGTAGGGCCCCAATGCCCCGTCCGAGCCTTCCAGGCCGGGTATGTTGTGAATTGCGGAGCTTCTCAGCGTTCAGAGGGTATTTCACACCCGCGGCGTAGGCCGGGCCGCACCTGGCAATGATGGACGGTAACGTTTGGGCAGCAAAGTGCACGCAGAGTCTCAAGAAGCAGGTTAAAGACGATAAGCAGCAGCATGGCAGTTGGGGCAGGTTTGCCACCGCATCAGCCGTGAAACACCGTCAGGTTTCAGAGTTTTGGATTTAAGGTTGCAGGTCAGGGGCTGGGGCACCTCTGTCCCCAGAGCTCTCAGGGCGCCAGCCGTGCCGTGGCTGCACCCCACCGTAGCAGAGCCCGGGGCACGGGGGTCTGCAGATGGGGACGCGGAGGCTTAGGTTGGCCCAACGGCCCAAGTCGCACAGATGGTCTGTAATAAATCAGGGTAAACCTCAAGCCTGCCTGGCCTGGAGCCCTGCTCTAACCATCGGGCTCTCCTGCCCGCGCCCGCGAGCTCTGCCCAGAGCTGCATCACTCCCGCCCCCCCCCCCCCCGTAGCTGCCCAGGCGTCTTCACGTCACATCCCAAGTCTGTGTGAGCAGGAGTATCCTCAGACCAGGCCTCACCTGTGGCTCGGCTGGGGCTCGGGGAGGCTGGAGCTGGGGAGGCTAGAGCTGGGGGAGGCCAGGATTTGGGGAAGCTGGAGCTGGGGGAGCCTGGAGCTAGGGCTCGGGGAGGCTGAGGTTGGGGCTGGGGGAGGCTGGGGCTGCGGCTGAGGGAGGCCGGGACTCGGGGAGACTGGGGCTCGGGGAGGCCAGGGAGGCTGGAGCTGGGGCTGGCCAGGGCCGGGGGAGACTGGGGCTGAGGCCGGGGCCAGGGCCAGGGCTCGGGGAGGCCGGGGTTTGGGGAGGCCAGGCCGGGGCGCTGAAGGCCGCTGCCCTCTGTCCGCAGTACTTCACCTACAGCGTGCTGCTCAGCCTGCTGGCCTGCTCCGTGTTCCTGCAGATCAGCTGCATTGGGAAGCTGGTGCTCATGCTGGCCATTGAGCTCATATACGTGCTCATCGTCGAGGTGCCCCGGGTCACACTGTTTGACAACGCTGACCTGCTGGTCACCGCCAATGCCATGTAGGTGCCCCCCCCGCCTCGGTTTCCCCACCGGGTCTGGGGCCCTGCAGGGAGGCCAGGGCAGTGGGTGGCTGGGAGCCTGGGACGCAGGGGGCTTGCGAGGGGGCTGCTCTGTGGCTCCCCAGCTGACTGCCTGGGAAAAGCACCGCAGTGTGGCCTTCTCCGCCATCCCTTCTCCAGTACGGGGTCGGGGGGCTGGCCTCAGGGTGACTAGGTCCTGCTGTCCTTCCTGCCCTCAGGCCTCAGTGAATTGTTCCTCATTTGTTCAGGGCAGCCTCTGATGAACTGTTTTCATTTAGCTCCATCTGTCTGTGGCACCTTAGGCCCAGAGAGGAGTCAAGATTCAACAGAGCTGGATAGCAAGGTCTGTGGAGTAGGAAAAAAAAAAAACCTTTGTGGTTTCTGGGACATACATTGTCCCTTTTCATCCTCTTAGCAGCCCAGCAAAGTAGGCAGGGCTGCCACGGACGGTTGGGTAATCTGTGCACTGCTCAGAGGCTCCTGGTTATGAGGGTGAGCCACTGGGTCCCACTTCCAGGCAGCAGGCCAGGCTATCTAACTCCCAGTAAAACAGGAATAATGTCCATAGTAGTAAAACGTCTGTAAGGTGCCGACTGTCAGTACCCTTCTCTTCCCATCACCCCGCTACACGCGCGCGCGCGCACACACACACACACCAGGAAGTGCAAAAAATGCGAGTGACAGGTCTGTGTCCCTTGAGAAAAATGCAGCAAACTGTGCTTTCTCCAAGTTATAGGAAGATATCCATTCATCCTTGTATCCATTCATCCAAAAGCATTCACTGAGGGCCTGCGTGTTCCAAGCGCCGAGCCAGGGAGCGTGGTACAGTCATGGATGAGACAGGCGATAACTCCAGGGTCAGAAACGCCACTTTCTGGTGAAGACAGTGTCACCTGAGCAAAGGAAGGCGTAGGGAAGGATCTAGGATTCAAGGGCGCCCTTCCTGGTGGCCGAGTGGGGCTGTGGGCAGACAGCGGGGAGGCCGTGGCCCCAGGGGCCGTGCAGGCTGCTGTGCCGGGAGGACCGGGAGGGCCAGGAGGGGAGGCGGTCCAGGCCCTCCTCCCTCTGATGGGCTCCTTCCCCCCCGCACTGCCAGCCTCTCCGCCCCCCACCCAGGTCATTTCTCATTTGGGAGGCCCTGGCTGGCTCTGGGGCGCTGCTCAGGAGATAGATAATGCGAGGCATGCGTGTAATTCAAAAATTTTCTAGTAGCTATATTAGAAAGGCAAAACATGCATTTTTAATATTTTTATTTAACCAACACATTCACAATATTAATTTGCAGTCAATATAAAATCATTAATGAAACACATTACATTTTTCCCCACACTGATTCTTCAAAACCTGGTATCTGTTAGACACCACGGGACGTTTTAACTTGCACCAGCCACGTACAAAGGCTCAGGAGCCACACGTGGCTGCGGCCACCGCACTGGGCAGCACAGGGGTCGTGTCTCGCTGCCTCCGGAGGCAGCACGGTGCTGGGGTGGGAGGCGGGCTGGCTTCTGCCCCAGGGCAGGGGTGCTGGGGGGCCCCCGGGTCTCAGGGAAGGGAGGACCCCCTTGCCCTGATTTGCGGTCTTGGTGGCCGGGGGGCTGGTCTTTCTGCAAGCCTCCCGTCCTGAAGGTATTGGTGGATCCCAAGGGGTGCTGGGGGGGCTGCAGGGGTTCCAGGAGTGGGGGCAGCAGAGCTGGGCAGGTGGGGGTGCACGCAGAGGGCAGCCCCAAACAGCCCTCCCCATTCCTGTCCACAGAGACTTCAACAACAACAACGGGACCTCGCAGTGGTGAGTGTGTGCCCCCGAGTTGTCCGAATCAGCGCTCCGGGCCTTGGTGGCCAGCAGCCTGGCGGGGGCGGGGGGGGTGGCAAGCAGCCGCTTCCTCAGCGGGTCCCAAGGGGTCTAACTGGTGGAGGCCCTTCTCCCCCTGGGTGGTCCCCACTGCTGCACAATGCCCTGCAGGCTCAGCAGCTGGGCCTGCAGGGCCCGCGGGCCATTGCACGGGCGTCATTGGAAAGCATCTGGCCTCAGGCTCTCCCCGGGAGCAGGTGGATGCTGGGGCACAGGAGAACGGGAGGTGGGGCCCCCCTCACCCAGTCGCCCTCCCTCCGGGAGAAGGAGCCGGGCGAGGCCTGGGGGCTTCGCAGGGTAAGCCCGGCGCTGAGCTGCTGCTGGGAAGTGAGGCTGTGCAGCCCTCAAGGTCCAGGCTCTTTCCTGGGGACCGGGAGCAGGGTTTGGGACAGTGGCCTTTTATTGCTGCTTAGAGAGAACTGGTAGGGGGGTGAGGGGAGGAACAGAGGGAGGGGGAGAGAGCACCTGGAGTAAGCTCCCTGCTGGGTGCGGGGCCCCATCTCAGGACCCTGAGACCATGACCTGAGCCCAAATCAAGAGTCAGTTGCTTACCCGGCCGAGCCCCCGGGTGTCCCGGGGCAGCAGCTCCCATGAAGAGCGGTTATTAATAACGTTCACAGCAATGGAATTAGCCATTATTAGCTGCCAGTCTTGGGGTTCCTGCTGTAGGTGTATACAAGGAGTTTCGTATACAGTAGCTTTAATTCTTAAAGTATGGCCGTTGTGATCCCCTTTTGCAGATTAGGAAACTGAGGTTCAGAGAGGTTACGAGGCTTGCCCAAAGCCCAGAGGGGTCACTGCCCAGCTCCCTTGTTACTGTGCCCATGGCCCTGTCGTGTCTACTGGGAGAGACCTGGGATGGACACGACCTTTTACAAGGGCCTCACCGATCCCCCAATGAGACCAGAGGGAAGGTTCCCAGTGACGCAGGGAGAGGAGGGCATCGGGCACTGGCTGCGAGTGGGCGCTGCGGTGGGGCTGCGGGCCGGGAAGGCTTCCCGGGAGAGGCACTGCCTCGGGCAGAATGAGCAGGAGGCTGAGGAGAGGGGGCGTAGCGGGAGGAAGAGAAAGGCCCGAGGGCGCTGGGACCTGCCTGCAGTGCCAGGGCATCTGCCGCCCCCCTGCAGCCCTGAGCACGCGACCAAGGTGGCGCTGAAGGTGGTGACGCCCATCATCATCTCCGTCTTCGTGCTGGCCCTGTACCTGCATGCCCAGCAAGTGGAGTCCACCGCCCGCCTGGACTTCCTCTGGAAACTGCAGGTGGGCGGCCCGGGGCGGGGCTGGGGAGGCGTGAGCACGTGAGCACGTTCATCCCCTGGGCTGGCTGGGCCTTACTAATGCACGGCTGGGGTGTCCCGCTCAGGCCTCATCCCCACCAGCCGGCACCCCGTGTCCCAGCAGGTCTGCTCCCTGGAGCCAAGAGGCAAAACCCCAGAGCTTATTCCAGTCCAACCCCCCCTGACAGTGCTGGGACTTTGATGGGCCCCAGGGACACGCTGTGAAGTCACAGACACTGGCCAGGCGCTAGTGGGCACATCCAGAGCCGGGGGGGAGGGGCAGGAAGGGAGGAGGGTGGGGTGCGCACTGCCCATGTCACCGTGTCCTGAGGCTGCAGTGTAGGAGCTGGCCCAGCAGGCCTCTGAGCGGGGCTTATGGGGCCACAACTGGCATGAATCTTCCAGGGGAGGATGGAAACCCAGACGGTGGCTTGCCCTGGCCCTGGGGAGAGGTGGCCGGGGCAGGGGCAGTGGGGTACTTGTTACCTACCGGGGGCTCAGAAGGTCCAGAGGGTGCCCAAGGGCGTGTAGGGTGAGCAGGCCGTCTCCCCTGGGGGCAGCCTTGGCCTCCCCCGGCTGGGCCTCGGCCTCCAGCTCACCTGCAACCCACGTGGGCCGCCTCCATCCTCAGCTGCCTGTTAACGCTGAGATTCAAGTCTTCAGGCTGGCGCGGGAGGCCCCGAGTTCGGTTACGGGTGGCGGCATCCAGCCGCCCCGCTGCCCACTGCAGTCCCCCACGGGGGCTCGAGGAAGCTCTGTGCGCCGGAATGCCGGGTGGGGGGGCGTGCGAGAGGCCCACCTCCTGAGCTCCCATTGCTGCCTCCCTGCCTCCTCTTGGCTCTCTCAAGCCCTGTCCTTTGGGGAGGCTCCCCCCGCAGCTCCAGCTCTCTCCTAAGGGCTGACCAGGCTCCGCGGGACCTGGGGCTGATGTCCCTCCACTTCTCTCCACGTGCGCATGCGCACACCCCCCGCACACCCCGCACCTCCCATGGGAGCCCCAGGGAGTCCCCGGCCCCCAAGACGGTTGCTGATGGGCAACTAAGTTGTGTTGCAGAGACCTCGAGAAACGGGCAGAAGCAAGGGAAGGGTGAGGCTGCCACTCAGCCTGTCTTGGGAATCTGTCCCCCCCATGCCAGGTCTCTGTCCAGCCCCTGAATGCATAGGGTCAATGAGAGGCTGCCGGCCAGGGCTGAGCAGAACAGCCGGGGGCTCCCTCACCACCCCCACCCAGTGCCCAGGCAACAGAGGCCCCTGCACACAGGTGGGAGGGTGGGACGGTGAGCACGTCCCTACCTGCCAGGTGCGTCGGCCTCTCTCCCCTGAGCCCCAGCCGTGGGCTCGTGATGCTTACCTGTCCCTCCCTGTCCCGTCCTCCAGGGCTTTTGGGAGGGGGAACAACATCAAATATGTATCAGTAAGCAAAACCCTGAACACAGGCCCTTGGGATGGGTGAGTGATAATCCGTTGCCCCCCACGCCACCCCAGTCAACCCAGCAGCCAGTATGGGTCACTGGCCGTAGTGGGTGCATGACTTACCACCAGGGAGTGGGGGAGGCCTGAGGCAGGATCGGGCCTGCTCCTGGCCAGACCGCTGGGTCTCCACTGTCGCGAGAGCCGACTCTTGTCCGTCCCCCAGGGCAGTGACCTCATTAGGATCAGCAGGGGGCTTTGGACCCCTGGGCCCTCCTGCCCTGCCCGAGCCCAGTCCTAGAAGTAGCTGGCTGTGTGGGGAGCGGCCCAGCATCATGTCTCAGGGCAGCGTGCTCAGAGTTCTGGGCAGGTCTTCGCCTGTGTTCCCAGCAGTAGCCCTGCTCCCACTGTCCCAGCCCCAGCCTCCATGGCCACCTGCTGGGCTGATCAGAGGAGCTGGCGGGCTCCTGGGTCCCAGGCCGTGGACCATCTCAGAGCTAGGGGCAGTGGCCCCAGGTAATGAAGAGGGGGTGGCCCGAGGGAGCCTCACGGGAGCAGAAGTCACGTGGGTTGGAAGATAGCTCATGCCTGCTGGGCCCACCTGGTGTCCCAGGGCCCAGGAACTTCCATAGGTGTGACCCCCATTCTCGAAGCCATGTTTCCAGTGACTGTAGGAGCGATGGACTGTGGTGCCGTCAGCTCGGGTGCAAGGCTAGGCTGGGCCTCTGAGCCTTGGGGTCCCTGACCTTTGTTCCTGCTAGACCCAAGTCCCGTGGCCTCGGGCGAGGGTGCTGGCAGTTTCCCTAAAGCAGCTGCCACCCACTGGGAGAGCTGGGAAGTAGCCCCAGCCCTGGTGGAGGTCCTTGTTGCAGCCGGACAGACAGGCCTCCACGTTGAGTTAGGGTGGGTCCAAGAGGGCTGGCGAGACCTTTGCAGCGGCCCCGCAGTGGTCCTTACCCGCCTGTTTGCCAACATGGTCACTCTCCATTAAAGGGGCCACTTGGCTTGCCCTCAAGGGGGAGGAAGCCAGCAGACTGCCCTCTGTACCTCCTGTGTCCCATGAACTCTGGTCAGGTGGCTCCTGCACCTCCGCGCTTCAGCCTGAGCCACCCTTGGCCACTTGATTCCAGAGCTCTGCACTGTCCCTTTAGCCTGGAGGGTGAGTGACCACAAACCCTGATTTCCCAGACCCAAGAAAGTGGGGGAGAACCAAAATCAGTGGTGACGTCCCCATCCCGCCCCAGGTGGCCCTTTGGGGCATCTGCACCTCCTGGCCCTGGGGCACGCCTGCCCTCAGGGGAACCAGGGGAGTGGCAGGGCTTTGGGTCATCTTCCCGTCGGTCAGTCTGCAGGAGGGACCCTCCTCAAACGGTGCTCCCTGATAGGAAGAGGGAAAGGGACAGCGAGGGAGCACTTGGTCGCCGGAGGGCCACTGGAGGTGCGGTCTGCGACCAGCCCCGTAGCCGCCGTGTCGGCCTAGCTCTGCGCAGACAGGCTGCGCTCTGCCTCTCCTCCAGGCCCTGGGTCCAGCACCCTCCCACGTGTCGTGTTCTGAGGGGCGGGCAGGCCCAGTGGGTGCGAACACGCGTGTCGCTTTCCTGCTGTCGCTGCTCCTCGCGGAGAGCGGGAGGTGGAGACGGCGGGGAGGAGCCGGGGAGGAGTGGGGGGGCCCGGGGCGGCGGCCTGCGCACCCCTCCCTCCGACCGGTGCCGTGTCCTAGGCCACGGAGGAGAAGGAGGAGATGGAGGAGCTGCAGGCCTACAACCGGCGGCTGCTGCACAACATCCTGCCCAAGGACGTGGCTGCCCACTTCCTGGCCCGCGAGCGACGCAACGACGAGCTCTACTACCAGTCGTGCGAGTGCGTGGCTGTCATGTTCGCCTCCATCGCCAACTTCTCCGAGTTCTACGTGGAGCTTGAGGCCAACAATGAGGGTGTCGAGTGCCTGCGGCTGCTCAATGAGATCATCGCTGACTTTGATGAGGTGCGGCTGGGGAGTGGGGGGCGCGTGGGTCCCTGGAGCGGGAGGGATGCCAGGACACCCTGGCCTCCTACAAAGGACGAAGTAGGTCCACAGATGCGGTTCGGCCCAAGTCGTGGCCGGTAGGTGACAGGGGGCTTCTGAGACCCTGGCCGGCTATCCTGCCAGTCCTCCCCATTCGCTGCTGTTTCTCTCATGCCACCTGGGGCTGGGCATGCGCCGGGTCGGGGCCTGGCTTTCGAGAGAGTCCAAGGAAGGAGGACCTCCAAGGCCAAGGGAGGAAGAAGGACGACGATGCAAAGTCCTCGATGGCAAGGACAGAAACACAATCAAGCACCCTCAGCAAGTACCCGGTGTGTGTCCAGCACCGGGTCTGCTGTGCCCAGGAGGGCATTTCGACCCTGGGAGCTCACCGAGTGATGAGCGTGAGGGGATCAACCCCAGCGGGATTGCAGGTCCTGGGGAGGAGGATGGGGCTGGGGCCTGGCTGTGTGGAAACAGCCCCTGCGGCTCCTGGGGCGCAGGTAACTCACGTTGGCTGAAGTGCGTCTGGGCAGGCTTCTGGCTGGGCCTGGAGGTAGGAGAAGGGTGTCTCTCTGGACAAAGATGAGGACGTGTCCCTGGGAGGTCTGCTTTGTCAGGCTCACACATTGGCGTGGAGACGGGCCCCCTGTGCGAACCGAGGGGGTATGAGGGGCCATGCTGCTGCCCTTCCCCGCAGACCTCAGTGCCCCAGCCTTGGCGGTGACCCAGGTTTGGCCTCCTTCCATCCAGATCATCAGTGAGGATCGGTTCAGGCAGCTGGAGAAGATCAAGACCATTGGCAGCACCTACATGGCCGCCTCAGGCCTCAATGACTCTACATACGACAAGGTGGGCAAGACCCACATCAAAGCCCTGGCTGACTTTGCCATGAAGCTCATGGACCAAATGAAGTACATCAATGAGCACTCCTTCAACAACTTTCAGATGAAGATCGGTGAGCTTGGCTTCCGGCCAGTCCAGCCTGGGGTCAGTAGGTGGAGTAAAAAGCCGCATGTGGCCTGGCAGGACCGAGGAGGAGGGGGGCTGTGGAGGGAAGGGTCTATGTTTGTAGTCCTCCCTCTCATGCAATGGTGAGGCTTGATGCAGCCCCGGGTGAGAGTTTCTGGGGCAAGAGGGAGGAGTGCCCAGGGGCTTGGAGATGTGGCAGGAACTGTCTAGACCATATCAGCAAAGCCAGGTGTGCTGGGGAAGGTTCTTGCCTGGGGAGGAGGGAGGACGCTTGAGGTAGGGGAACCAGCACAGCGGATGCTGAGTGGCAGGGTGATCGGGGTTGGTGTGGGCAAGACTGGGAGGACGTCGGGGAGATTAGAGCAAAAGTGCCAGGAGTGAGACAGGGAGCCCACGTGGAGGGCAGCAGCCTTGCTTCTGGAGCTGGACCCTGGCGACATCCCGGCCCGCCCTAGCTCAGACACCTGGGGGAGGCCCACCTGGACACGGAAGAGACCGTGGGTTAGGAGGAGCCACCATGGTAGTGCCCCCGAAAGAAGCAGCAGAGGTGAGGAGGAAGAGAAGGGGAGGCTCTGGTACGCGGAGCCTGAAGTGGCAGTGAAAACTGAAATGCCCCTGAGAAGGAGGATTATGGAAAGGCAACCGGATGATGTGGCAAGTCCCTGGGTGCTCGAAGAGGCTGGTCCTGCTGATGGACTGCCAGGGGCAGCCACGTGGGTCGCACGCGTACAGGAGCGGTGCTGCGTGAACAGGCCTCTGTGGTCTGGCCTGGCAGGGCGGGAGCTGCGGGGCCAAGCCTGACGTCAGGCCCTTAGAGGCCCCTGGCTGTCTTCAGGCCAAGAGGAACCCGCTGGGCATCGAGGGAGGGATGAGAGTGAGGGCGAGCGCTGGTCTGACCCCGAAGAGAACATGCCGACTTCTGTCCCCTGCAGGGCTCAACATCGGCCCCGTGGTGGCCGGGGTGATCGGGGCTCGCAAGCCTCAGTACGACATCTGGGGCAATACGGTGAACGTGGCCAGCCGCATGGACAGCACCGGCGTGCCGGACCGCATCCAGGTGAGGGCTGGGGCCCACCTGGCAGGCCTCAGGCTGTGCCGCATGGTCTTGGGGGCAGGCCGCCCGCAGGTCCCTGGAACCCCAAGTGTGTTTCCAGCCCTCAGCACCTTGGACAGAGCTCCAGCCTGCGCAGAGCCCTCTACTGGCCGCAGAAGGAATTGAGGGGTCCCGGCTAAGCCGGAGTGCTAAGGACACAACCCGCATACCCAGCGGGACACAGATTATACGGGGGAGGGGGGGGCAAGGTCCTGCCCACAGCACTCAGGGCCTATTTCAGGGGAACCAGGCAAGGCCACTGGTCCCTGGGATGGTGCCCCCAACAGCCAAGGGGCCTGGCCAGAGGCCCAGAGATTTTTTTCTCTTCTCTATCCTTTGCAAGCTGGCATTTGTGAGTCCCAGGCCTTCCTTGATTCCCTCTGCTCCAGTCTGACAAGAGTGAGGCCCTGGACTGGGCTCCCTTCCTGTACCCTCCAGCCCCCCCGTGCCCCACAAGACTGTGGGCAGGTCACTTAGCTTCCCTGGCCTCAGTGTCCCCACATTTGAACTGTGCTCTCTTGCATGGCCCTTTCTTTGCTCACACTGATGCTGCTCAAATGTCCCTTAGATTCCCTCTCCCATGGGACCTCTGAACAGAGTCGGCCCAAGCATAGCTCTGGCCAGATCAGCCCCACCTGGCTGGCATGTAGGTGCTGTCGGAGTGACCTGAGCAAACTGCTTTCTCCCACCTGCATCCCTGTGCCAAGGGGAGAAGGGATACGACGGGAGATGGGGAGAGAGGCACGTGCGTTTGCAGAGCTTCTGACCCCACCCACAGCCAAGTGAAGGACTCTGTGCAACCACACAGTGGCCTGGCACCTCAGCTTTGCAGAGGGCTTTCCCATTCTTGGAATACGCATGGTACCGCAGCAGGGTCACCTTCCAGTAGCCCACCCAGAGATTCCCGGGCCCTTCTCTCCTGGCCTGACAAGCCAGGAAGGGCCAGGAGCCTCAGCGGTACTGTGGGATGTGCTCAGGGAGCTCCTCTCGTGAGATTCGCGCTTGTATAGCTGTTTTCTCCTTCCCCCAGCAGTAGTGCGGTGATTACTGAGGCCACTGCTCAGTCCCCCTCTTTGTTCCAAAAGCTGAAGCAGATGGGCAGTAGGACACAGGCCTGGATGCAGGCTCTGCCATTGGTTAGCTGTGAAACCCTAGGGAAGGGACTCAGGTTTTGTGAACCTGAGATAATAGGACTTCCCTCCGAGTTTTAGGGCTGCTGCTTATCCCATTTAATCTAGCTGCTGTGGAGTGAGACTTGGGTGAGCACGCTGGTCACATGCTCAGGATCGATGGCAGCAGCGTGAGATTGCTACGGGTGCACCTGTCATTGTGGACGACGACAGGCAGTTCAGGGGTCTGAACCTCTCCATTGCCTCCTCAGGTCACCACGGACATGTACCAGGTGTTGGCTGCCAACACGTACCAGCTGGAGTGCAGGGGTGTGGTCAAGGTCAAGGGCAAAGGCGAGATGATGACCTACTTCCTCAACGGTGGGCCCCCGCTCAGTTAGCAGCTGCCAACTGGTGATGCCAGGCCGCCTGGCCTCCTGAGAAACGGAAATGGCTTCTTTGTGTGCCGGTGGGCAGGTGGAAGCCTGCGCTCTAGCCCGTGTGGCCGCGCCGGTGAGATTTTCCACTTTGACTCCAGAAGCAGCTTCTGCCTTTGTGGGCAGGCCCCAGGCCCTGGGGTGCCAGCGTCCTGCGAGCACCAAGCTGACCAAAGATGTTTCCTCCGTAGAAGACTCCGCCAGGCGTGATCTGAGTCTCGAGTTTTCTAACGGGTGCTGCTACTGCACGGGTAGAAAGGAGCTGCTGGAGCTCTGGCAGCGTGTGGTAGCCAGGCGTGCGGCGACAGGGCTGACGGGGAGGCCTCAGCCTGGGGGACCCAGGGCCCCGCTTTCCTGTGTGAGCATTTCAGCTTCCGCCAGAGGCCACGGCCCCTACCCCACGGAGGGGCTTCTGGCGGGAGTGCTGGCTGTGGAGGGGCTGCGGCCTTCTCCGCAGTCCCCCTCCTGCACCCGCACACGTAGACGATGCCTCGTTGAGGGGAACGGAACGAAGTGCGAGGGGGAGGTGAGAGGACTTGAGGCACGGAGGGGTGGTTCTGAGAAAAAGAATATTTATTAAATAAAACAACTTTCTGTGCCCTTCTTTAGACTATGCTAGTTGTATGCGTGTAAGAGACCCGCAAGCAAACGAAGATGCCGCTGGGGTGGGAGGGCAGGGACCCGATTTGTCTTTTTGTATTTTTTATTTTGTATCATTGAAATCCTTGGAGATCTAACAAATATACCAAATTCTATATTTTGTAAATTATACTAGAAAACAGCTGTGCACAGCATTTGTACTGTACGTATGTCAACGTATGTACTGGTGTGTGTGTGTATGTGTGTGTTTATGCTGTGGAACTGGTCACATGCAGGATGCCCGTTCCCTCACCTCGGATTCGGCAGTTTTGGGTTTTCCCAGGTCCAACCAGAGCAGTGAGCGTATGTCCTTTTGGGGTGCCCTGTGTTCAGAGTAAGTGGGAAGATGCACATACACATGACCCCCCCCTCCCTAACACGTCACTTCCCTAAAGTTAAATGCAAATGGGTACATTCCCCTCTCGGGCACGGCTGGAACTAAGGGAAATGGCCCCAACCTGCAGCAAACCACGGTCTCTTCTCCCTGGGATGTCAGCCACTTGCTGCCTGCAGAGGCAGCTGAGAGCTCAGGATGGCCACAGGCGCTCAGCTGGGGCGGCGGGGAGCCTCGCCTGCTGCCTCTCTCAGCTGGCTCTCCCTCTGCAGACCAGAGGAAAGGGTAGAGCCCAGCTTCAACGTCCAAAGGACAAAGCTAGCAGAGATTTTGCTTTGTCTGGTTCTTGTTTTTTGGAGGGAGGGGGCAGTTAAATTTATATATATATAAATCACTTTTATACCCTACAAGGGTATAAAATGAAAATGGGCATGAAAGTGGAGAATGAACTATTATCCTAGAGATCTAGTCAGAGTCCTTGGGTCCTGTGCCCAGATCTTTTTGTTGCTTCTCAGGGCAGAAATGTCACCTCCCACCCGAGCTTGAAGGGGGTGGGGCGGCAGCTGCGAGACGTTCCCTTGATGCCCACCCGCACCACCCCTCACCGGACACGAGCACCGGCCTGCCCCTTCCACATACCATCTCTCGCCCCAGTGTGAGCACGGCTCTGAGAAGCAAAGCTTGCAGACCTAAACTGCCAGCCCAAGTCTGTCCATGCTTTTGCTGCTCCATCCTTCGAGTTCTGCATCGCCCCCCCCCCCTTGCATCTCTTTGCGGGTGTGTGGGTGGGTAGGGGGGCTGGCTCTCTCCATGGTGGTGTTCTCAAGTCCCACCCCCCCATGGTACCCGCCGGTGGTGCCGGGTTTTGATTTTGCTTCTAACCTGAGTAACGTGTGTGCTGAGTTCCTCTGCTGGTCCCTCCGTCAGTGATGGTCTCCTCGGCCTCTTGGGGGCCCACCCCCCCATCCCAGCAGTGACTGGTGACACCGTGCAGTACTAGCTCTTCATTCCCTCCAAGGGTGTGCACTCTTTTTATTCCTGCTCTTGCAAAAACAGATACGATTATGATTTCCCATGGAAATTAAAACGTCTATTTAAATAATTTAACTATTAAACACTTTGACTGGTAATGTGTCCTGGTCTGATTTGCAGCTTGGGCCAACAACGGGCCTGGTTTCAGCCCGAAGAACGGTGCACTCAGCCCTTGGTGGGGCACCGGGGAGGGAGCCCCAGAGGGCAGAGACCGACCCCGAGTGGGGAATGGCATAGTGCTATGGAAAGAACGTCCGCTAAGGACCAGTCATTGAGGCAGGCAGGCGAGAGGACACTGGTGGCCTTGGCGAGAGGGTAGTTCCCTGGACTGAGGAGTCAAGGGGACAAGGGACTGAGGATGGTACCAGAAAAGATCCAAGGTTGAGAAGAGGATGTTTTAAAACAGGTGAACCGTGATGAGGGAAAGAAAGTTGAAAATAACAAGAACACAGATCATGGAAAGGACCCAAGTGGCAGGGAGGGGAGGAGATGCAGGCGGGAGGGATGCTGGTTTGACCTGGAGAGCTAATACCCACGCCCGCCGTTTGCTGGACACTGTGTGCCAGACACGGGGATAAGCACCACTTGATCCTCCTGGCCACCACACGTCACTGACGAACGGACAGAGGTAGAGTTACCTGCCAAACCTCACACAACTGGTAACTAAGAGGAGATTCAAAGCAGGCCCGTCGGCTCGGCACATGCAGGTAACTACCTGTGTGCCCCAGGAGGACTCTTACCTCCAGGTGGTAGGAAGGCAGTTTCCACCTGCCAGAGCCATCAAATGCAGGGCTATGGTTGGGATCAGGAAATAAACCCAGGGGGCTTGGTCAAGTGAACATGAAGGAGCCAGTGAAAGACCTCCCTCCCGCGGTGGGGCGCCTGGGGGGCTCAGCTGGTTCAGCATCTGCTGATGCTGGGTTGGGTTCTGGGATCCAGCCCTGCTCAGGAAGGAGCCTGCTTCTCCCTCCCTCTGCCTGCTGCTCCCCCTGCTTGTGCTCGCTCTCTGTTAAGTTCACCACCACCACCACCACCACCACCACCACCACCACCACGACTTCACTGGGTTCATTGCAACAATGTGCCACATGGGGGCACAGGTGTGGCAGCCCTGGTCCTAGGCAGGCCCCCTGCTCCAAGGAAGCGGGACAGCATCAGCAATGCTCCCAGTGTGCACGGCGAAGGGTGCGACTGTATAAAGCTCATGTCTGACTCTGAGAACTTTTCAGGTTAGGATACAGTAATCAATCAGGAAAGGAAACCAAATGAAAACGCCAACCTCAGAGGCTGATCGGACCAAGTTGACAGCACATCAGCTCCCGAAGAATCCCAACCCCGCGGCGACTAGTGGAGGGCAAGCCCTCAGGCGGGCCCATGAAACCATGTGCCTGTGTATGCACACCCGGCGCATACCAGGGCAGTGAGGGAATGCAGCCCAGAACTTCCATGAGCCCTTCCCATCCCCATCTCTTTTTTTTTTTTTTTTTTTTTTTTTTTAAGATTTTACTTATTTACTCGTGAGAGACAGAGAGAGAGAGGGAGAGAGGCAGAGACACAGGCAGAGGGAGAAGCAGGCTCCATGCAGGGAGCCTGACGGGGGACTTGATGCCGGGTCTCCAGGATCACACCCTGGGCTGCAGGCGGCGCTAAACCGCTGCACCACCAGGGCTGCCCTCCCATCCCCATCTCTATTGAGCTAATTGCAGAGAACACATTTATGTCTCCCTTAGAGATTTGTACCTTTTTTTTCCTTGACAAAAGCATATCCGTACCTGGAATGTTAATTAGCAAAACTTATTAGCAAAGACCCCACTGGTAGGTTGTAGTGAGTTCCAAACACTGCTTTAACACCCACTGACAGCAAAGACAATTAAAACCAAGATCAGAAAAATAAATAAATAAATAATAAAATAATAATAATAATAATAATAATAATAATAAAACCAACATCAGGGCAGCCTGGGTGGCTCAGTGGTTTAGTGCCTGCCTTCAGCCCACGGCCTGATCCTGGAGTCCTGGAATCGAGTCCCACATCGGTCTCCCTGCATGGAGCCTGCTTCTCCCTCTGCCTGTGTCTCTGCCTCTCTCTCTCTATGTCTCTCATGAATAAATAATTTTAAAAAACAAACAAGATCAGACTTCAGCCAACATCATGATGATCTGACTGCAGAGGGGGGTTAGCAATGTTCGGGAAGGCACAGTGAAGCCCGGTGCACTGAGGAAGCTGAAGCTACATAGTTACCAAGTAGTCATGTTACTTTAAGACTTTAAAAAAATACAAATACATTTACAGAACTTTTCCAAAAGCGAGTATCACCTAAATGCCATACAGTCAAATGATGCCCGGAGGCTGTGGCTTTTGCGTGGTAAGATGTGGGTGTTTTCCATAATGTTGTAACCTGGCCAGGAGTTGCTAATTAGCAGAGAGTGAGCCTCTGGGCTTGGAAAAGATGCTGAGCCCCTATCACTGCAGGGTGGGGTAGCACTCTTGGGCACCAGGGAGTACAATGCTCAGAAGCACGCAGCCACCTGCACGAGAGAAGGGCAGAGGCAGGGATACACGCTGAAAACACACAGCTTTTGAATGTCCAAATCAAAATAATTCCTCACTGTGAAGACAACAAATGCTATCCAGGTTGTATCCGGAAGGAAGGGGCTATCAAGTCTGGGCCATGCTGACTGCGACAAGCACAGTGACTTAGCACAGGGATCAGGGGGGTGAGTTGGAAGGGCTGGTTTATCTGCGGAGGTGGGGGAAGAGGGCACAGCAGCCCAGACAAGACCATGCCCCCACCCCCTGCCTTCAGATGAACTTAATCCAAGGTGTACAAAGAGCTCGCCCATACATTTTCTCACCTGTGCTTGTCCCCAGGCCCAGGAGGCAGGGGGAAAGAGGACTGGTGACATCTCCTAGGCAGCTCTGATCCTCTAGGGCAAAAGGTATGGCTCTGGCCCACAGGCTGGCTCTTCTGTCCATTGTGCCTACCTGGCTGGGCACTGATGATCCTGCAGGGACAGAGGACCTGCCACTTCTCAAGGTTGACAACAGATGAAGTCCATTGACTATAGTACTATAGCTTCTCTTAGCCTTTCGGATTCTCAAAAAAAGCCCTTTTGAGGTCCCCCCCCCCCCCCGTCTCTGTCTTGGAATGAAAAATATGGTATTTGCTGTCCTCCTCTTGCCTCTCTTTCCTTCCCACCTGCAGGATCACTGCTTTTCAAGGACAAAGCCCAGTCAGGCCATTGGAATGGCTGATGTCTAAGCTTCCTCTCTCCTCTGGCATTCTCAGATTCTACATATTTGTGTGAGCCTGTCCCATATCCAAGTGCTAGACCACAGTACGGCACAAACATAAACATGACGGAATTAGGATTCGAAGATCTTAAAGCCAAAGGCAGACAAATGAAATGAAAAGCATCACACTAAGGGGGATCCGTGGGAAGATCACCTTGAAACCAAAGTTGCAAAACCCTGTGCTCTGACCTCCTCCAGACACCATGCCAGCCGTAGCAGCAGCAGCAGTGCGCAGCAAGCAGTGTGGCCAGTCCTTTCCTACCAAGGGCCTGGATGCATGCAGTGCAGAGCACCAGGTGATCAGTCTA